TGCTACTTGCCAAGCGGTCTGGAGAGCAATCGGTGGTATAGCTGTTCTTATCATTCTTCGTTCGTTCATTCATCGTTCTTCTTATATTTCAACTATACATTTAACTTTTGAGGATATTGGGTAAGACATTTCATCATCCAATGGGGATTTTCATTTGACCAATATCGATCATTGTCTTCATTAATGATGCCATTAAAATAAGAAGTCTTCCCATCCAAAAAAAATATATAACATAGAAATTTAGATTTAAAATAGATTGGTAACACGCTCACAAAATTCTATCAGCTGATATGGATCATCTTAAGACAATTCCTTTCATCTTAACTTTTAGTTTTTGGTGGAAAACATGCAGCCAAAAGGCTGGAAATAAATCGCAATCATCTAGACAAAACCCAGATACTGTTAAAGCCTCATTTAAAAAAAATTTCATTATTCCAGATAGGAAAGAATAAGTCTTATATAATAAGTAAATAAACAATAAATATCCAAGGGAGAAGAAAGGATAAAGGGCAAAGGTGGGAATAAAAGGAGAAAAATAGGAAAAGTTGGACAAAAATGAAGAAGCATTGACTTTTGAGAAGACTAAATTTAAACTTAGCTCTAAAAGGCATGGTAGGCACCACCGAAACCAGACCAACCCAGAGAGTTAACTACGTTGGTGCACGGCAAGCGAACAGTAGATGGAAGAAAGAACCAAATAGAAGCAAGAAACTATTCTACAAAAAATAGGAAACCAAAAATTGTCCTCGTATAATCGCGTGAAAGGAATACCCGATGATAGATGGCCAAAGAGAAGATGAAAGAGGAAGACCAAGAACAAAATGGGGATGGAAGCGAAAGTAGCTGGCAAAATAAGGATAAATGGTGCAAAGGATACGTTAAACGACCACGAAGGCTGTAAATATCGCTAATATATCCAAATAGTGTGTCAAAGTATATCTATTTATTATTAATAATAATAATAACTTTGGCACTTGGCTATTTAAATAAACAAACTATAAACTTCGCAAATACCTCGTTAGCCTCTCCTTGAATACTCTTAAGCAAGAGGTGTTTTTAATATTATTCGGCGAACACCATCGTGGAATAAAGTTTTCTGTAAATTTGTAGTTTTTTACCACAGATGCTGATTGGAACGTATATTAAACATTAACTTAACATTAAACTAGTTCTTATAATGAACTGCCCGACAATTCAGCTGGTGTAACATACTCTTTATCTATAACAGTTCAGTATGATTCTCGTAGCCCGATTTCATTGTAGCTGTAACTTATTTAATTTTTTTTTTGTACAAGATATCAGCAACGAACAAACATGCGACAAATGAGACAAAACTATACTATTATACATTAATATCTTAGTTCATTGTGATAAAAACCGCGATACAGGGTAAAAAAATATATTTTTTTACCAATCACATCAACATGATTACTAAAACATAATTGTGGATCGAAAATCACTCCAAAATGTTTAATGTCGGAAACAAACTCAATTTTATTACAATGTATATTCACTGAATACCCCGAGTCATAGATTTTTTGACAGTCGCCTTTAGAACCGATAATCATGCATTTGAATTTTGAGTTATTTAAATTCAGTTTACTTTGGCACAACTATGCATAGAAATACCGCATTTCGGTATTCAGTTTGGTAGCTATTTATTTTCAATCGTTTCTAGAGACTGAGATAAGCATCGGCAAATAAATTAACAAACGAGTTTTTTAAAACCGGCCATATATTATTTATATAAATAAAACGGGGGCCAACACACTTCTCTTCGGTGCACCCCATCTGCTATCCCTATGACTAGAAACATTACAACATTCTTTATTCTAGTGCCATATTAACCTGTCCCTGTCAATGGTCTCAAATGCACGTTTTATATCAACAAAAACAAACACAGTTTTGATTAGTTTATGTCTTAAACGCTAGACTGCACACATATATTACAACATATATTAAACACAGGACGTTTTTTGACTAATTTTTTTTTTTTAATGAATCATCCTATATGAAAATAATTTTAAATTGTTTCTTTTGTTATTATATATATAATATAACGCAAACAACCGTTTCATGTTTGCTACTAACTGAATGCTCCAGACTCGACGAACGAGTGGAACTAAAGACATTTAACGCTTTTAAATACTTTACTTAATGTAGCGTGTGTTGGTCTTGCCTCTTCCGAGAGTTCCCATCGATTTCTTGTCAAGCCAGTTAATATACCACCAAAATAACTATCATCTGGAGGAAGCGATAGAAAGCAGCTAAACACCAGAATTAAGAAACATTTGCAGAAATCGATGGAGGATATAAAAACGTATATTTATTTGCTTTGTGTGTAATTGCCATCTTGCATTTTAAACAGAAAATATAAAAGCATAACAAAACGTATGTCATTCTTTGGAATGCCGCCTTATTTAAACGCAGTAAAAATGGATTGATGACCAATTTTTCCTTATCAAAAGAAACACTGTCAAAGTAACATTGATAATTGGCTAAGCGCAAAATAATAACTGTTCATTTTTTTCATAGATCTACATTGATAATTCTAATGAAATTAATGCTAATGAAATTGTTCGAAAATATTTCGAAACCGGCCATACATTAGAATGTGGAATCGCCATTTATCAAACAGTATTGGCATATATTTAATGTCTTAAAAATGTAAATAAGTTGATAGAAAATATTTTTAAAATTTAAAAAAAAGTTACTTGTTATTTGCTATAATGGAATGTGTCCACAGGGGTTCCCATATTAGGACAAACGGATATGACTTTGATGGTCCAGCTTAAACTAAAGCAACCAACGGTTCCTGGGATTCCGTAGAAAAAGTCAATAATAAAAAATCTCGGTGCAATAAAAAAGAACAGGCTTCAGTTTTGCAGACGATGGCTCTAACTAACATTTTTGTGTTCTTTTTTGGTAAGCTTATGATAAACCCAATGAACTGTCAATAAATCTTCGTTCAAAGATAATAAGTGAACCTGTGCACATTTTTTAATAATTAATAATAAAGTTTTTAATTGGCACCATATGTGGACATATGTTAAATTTGTACTAAAGTCCTAAGCCCCTAATTTTTAATGAAAGTATCCCTGCTTAAAAAATTAAATTTTCAAAGTCGTTAATTACTCGTAAAAATTACAAAATAAAATTGCTATATCAAAAAAAACGATAAATCGCAATAATTCAAAAAGTTCAAATATTGAGATGCGTCTTGTTGGCTGAAGACGACAGTGCCATTGGTTTCAAAAGTTATGAGAAAATGGTAAACACAAAAGTTGTATAGATTGCTAGGATGCACAATTTAAAATTAATCTACAGTATACAGGGTATCTCAAAAAAGGTGTGACAAATAAAACATCTATTTCTTTAAATGGAACACATAATTTCTTAACTTTGTTTCGAATTAATTTTCAACTTTTTTACTAATAATAATGCATACCTAAACCTAATAGTTTTTCCAATATTTCAATGTTTCTAAAAAAACTAGTTTTCACATTTGCAAAAAAAAAATAAATTTCAATTAGATCCTACGGGGTATTTGAAATTAACGAATGTATTTGGATCATTTTAAACCTTCGAACTTATATTAAGTGTGCCATAGACCTATTTTTAATACTTCACGATTTATTTTAACTTTTCCAACCCTTCTTTCTGTCTATTGACTATTGCTATAGCGTTAGTTAATAGATTTAGTTTAATAGATTAGTTAATAAATTCATAAAATTTATTGCGGTGTCAGTAAATTAAAAAAAAATATTAAGTTTCCTAAAGCTGAATTAATTGATCTGATTTATATACTGGGTGAGCGAAAAAATACTTTGTTGGTAGTGACTTTACAGGGCGTAGAATTTTAATAGACAATCTCTTCAGTGTTTAGTGGACCGATTTGATGCTAGTGCTAGTCCTCAATATGAAGAACGGAAAATGGTTAACCGGAATGCTACCAATGAGGAAAAAGAATTGGAAAATTTACTTCAAAGATAATCCCCAAATCAGTAACCGTGTGTTATGTGATACATCCCAATCTACCTTTAATCGCACTACTAGCAAACACTAGAAAAAGTAATATCCCTTCCATATGGAACTACACCAAGAATTTCTAGACCCTAATTTTCAACAACGGGAAAATTTCTGCACTGGTATAAATAATCCAAATTTTTTGTCCAAAATAATGTTTTCAAATGAAGGTATTTTTCGCAGTAATGGTGCAGTTAATCGTTATAACATGCATTATTATTCAACAATTAATTCATTCTGAGAATGGGAAGTGCAAAACCAAAACCATTGGGCACTTAATGTGTGATGTGGAATAAAACACTTTAAAGTTATTGTTATATATAAGCTTTCTGCAGAATGATTTACCTCAACTGCTTCAAGAAATCAATAACTATGTGATCCAACAAATATGTATATTTTAATTGAGGTTAACTTCTACATTTTAACAACCTTTCAGCATAAATTGGACAAACTCTATATTTGTGAAAACAGGAAAAAAAGGATCCCGCTTCCTGTGAAATAATATGCGTGGTGTCCCATTTAAAAAATATAACATGATACGAAAAAATCGATTTCATATTAGATAAAGATAGCTTAATTTCCATAAGACTTGAGTTACAAGGATTGGATATTGTCAGTATAATACGAGTGTAAAAATATAAAATTATCTTTGTATTATTAATTACTTAGTAATAATAATAAGTAATAATTTTAGATAAATAACAAATACATAAACAATAACAAACAACGAATAGGTATTAAAAGAAATCACAAGAAAAAAAAAAATAATATTGCTATAGATGAGGCGCAGCAATTTATCTTTAAGAGTGCATTTGAATTTTGTTTGACTAGTTACTCCTTCAATTCGATAGTCAAAACAAAGGGACTATTTGATGTAAGAGACAGTCGATGTGTTGGTATTTTTATGTTAAGATTCGGTCTTAAATTGGACGGAATATCTGAATTTCTTGAGAGCATATAAAGATTAGAGTTACCTGCATAAGTGGCACAATTTAGGACGTACATACTAGGAAGTGTCCACAATGAGTGTTGTGGAAATAGGTCTCGACCTGAAAAATTCCACGACTTAAACAGTATAGTCCGTAAAATGGGTTTCTGAATCCTAAAGACTTGCTTTCGAAAAATCGTCACTGGGCAGGGCAACTTCGTAGCGCGTAGCGCGAAGCTGCTTTTAATTTTAAAAAGTGTTTCGTGGGTTCTTGTCCTAGAGGGACGCATTAGTTTTCTATTGTGCTCCTGAGGACCACTATTTTATTGTGCATGCATCCTGTATGAAGTGTTTTTCACGTATCGCCGAATTTCAAAGTCACAATAAATATAAAATATTGTACAAGTAATAAAGATTTCCAATGATATTATTCCAAGTATCTCGCGCACCCTGTATGTTAGGGGAAACCTGAAACTCTCTCTATAGAGTTTACGACATTGTTTAAACCAAATTATTCCGTTTTATCTTTTTTCATTTACGGCTATCCAAGAAAATGGCAATTTTCAGGGTCTTTTAATTTTTTTTACCCATAATTAACACCGTCTATACATAATTGAAATCGATCTTCCATGTTTCAAGAGTTTTTCCAAAATAGTAAATGATTTTCGGGAAAATAAGTTTTTTCTGAAACCATGCAGTGCGTCGTAATAATGAATGACGTTACCGCGTCTTTACTGAGCCCCCGAAATAGCAAATTTTATATGGATTTTTCCACATATCCCGGCAGCGTGTGTGATAGACGAAAACCGCAAATACAAAAATTGTAGCTCTTGATGCAGCCTATGACACTGTTTGAACCGATTAGCCATATTTTTTGCGATTTATGATTTGCGGTTAATAATTTGCTCTGTAAAAGAACAATTTTCAAGGTCTTTTAGATTTTTGCCTACAATTTGAAAACCCTGTATATAATTAAAAAAATGCCTGAAATAAATGTTATTGCACTGGATCTTCTGCGTTAAAGAATTTTGCCGATCGGGTGAACGATTATGAAGGAACACATATTTTTCCGGAAACCAAAATTACCAAAAAAAAAAATTGAAATTAAAAAAAAAACTTGGTAAAATATGATCGCACCTAATTTCTATTGTTTAAATGTGGACACATACTTTTACTTCTCTGCAATATTTGAAGTTGATATCTGCAAATTTAGTACACTTAACACATTTCTTATTTAGCACGGAATATCGGCACCACCCTGTACAATAGCTGAGAACCTTAAATACAAAAGTTTAGCTATCTATGCGGGCTTTATCGCAATGTAAAAGAAAGTGACCTCTGAATCATATTCTTTCAGTTATAACCAATTATCAATAATAGGGAGACCCATTCTTCAGTTTTTTTGAATTTGCGGAGCACCCTGTATATTTTTCAAAAATTGTCAAGAATAAAAGTTTATAGAGCTGTATCTTGTGTCTTATAGTTCAAGAATTTCTTTGGTCTCGTAAACGGTTTTTAAAAAATGACCCCCCAATCCCCCCATTTTCCGTCACGTACAAGCAATGTGCAAAAAACAGTCGAAAATTGGGAAAAAAAAATGGATGCCGGCGACAGATCGAAGCCATAGGCTGATGTATCTCGTGGAGGGTTAATAAGGAGGTGAGTTTCCATTTTCTTAGCCTAAGCGGTTAAAAAGTTATTCCGGAAAATCCAAAAGACAAGAACGGAGAACATCCGATTTTCGAAAGCAAGAAAGGGAAAGAAACCTGATGGCGGAACCTCCATATGACAAAGCAGTAAACCGAAAGTTTTTTGGGAATGTGGTAAACCTGTTCGAACCAGGAGAGTCTCGAGTCTACATAGACTCCGAGGAATTTTACTTAATTGTGCTTTCATTGAAGTGTACTAATAAACTCTTCTTTAAATCCAGTGTTGAAAACGAGATTATCTTAGTTTTACTTTCATTCAATATCAATTTGTTAGTTTCTGCAAAATGTTTCATTTGCCCAACAGTTATCTTAGTTGTAATGCTAAGTTGCTCAGACGATGCTGCATAAAGGGTAGAAACTATATCATCATCCGCACAAAGGGAAAAGTAAGTATGGGGGAAAGATGAAATTGTTTATGTTGAAGCTTGTTCATTGCCTTTGTTCGTATTAATTTTAGAATGCTAAGAAACCATAAAAGTTTCATATAAAAACTATTTGTCTATCTCTTGGAATAAAAACCTTATGAGGGGCATTATGAAGTAACACTGGTTACAAACAGACGGAGGATATTTGTAAATACGTCTAATTACAGGCGCATCGACGCAACCGAAACGCGAATTAACTAGGGAAAACGAAAATACGTACCCAAGTCAGTATCCGTATGCGTATCTTATGGGGTCGACCGCCGTTTTACAACTCGTGAAGGTTTTCCGCACCGGTTGACCCGCGTCTGGCGTCCGTATATACCGGAAGGCGAAACTAAATAAAACGAAACGATTGATTTAAGCGCACCGCCATCGGACCGAACGCGGCAACATTTCAACTGCCGGCGCGTTTTGTTGTTAAAAACCTCCTCGCTGATTATACGTCGTCACTGTGTTAGTGCGCACCTACTGTTTTGCGGGCCTCCACTTGGAACACATTGTCACGCGAATCGTTCGATGCGTACGACCGACGCCGTTTTTTGATCGTACGTCTTTTATTTGAATGCTCGTTGTCCCGATTATAGTTTCTTCCTTAGTCGCTATCATTATAATTACTAAGGAGCGGAGGAAATGCAAACGAAAACGATTAAATTTAGATTTTTACCCACTAAAAAACCGCCTCACAGTCTCCCTCCTTGCAGGAAATGTTGGAACCACCTATCGGAATTACTTCAACATTTTGTGCTTTGCCAAGCTATTGCGTTCGCCGAGTCGTCTTGTCTTCTTCTTTGCAGCTTATGATTTTTTAAATAACGCTGCAGATTATGTGCCACTTTTCCTCACTCGCTAGCATGTGATTGACAACATTTTCAGGGGATAGTTTCTGTCCTATGTGCTATTCAACGTCAAGGCGTTCTACGTTCCACCGTGCGCAAACGAAAATGTATGTGCGGCATTATCTATGTGGTCGCAGTAGTTGCATTGGAGTGTTGCGCTCAGCTTGAACCTATGGAAATATGCCTGAAAAAATCCATGTCCTGATAACATCTGGGAGACGTAATAGTTGACTTCCCCGCGTCTTCTTCCAAACCAAGGTCTTAAATCTGGAATTATCCTTTTAGTCCATGGTCCCACTTCTCTTTTTTGTTTCCAGATTGTCTGCCATCCGCTTAGTGTTTCCTCCCTCATCACTATTTTTTATTCATTCATTCGTGTGCTTGCAACTCTATCGGGATTGTCCTCGAGATGACCAGCACTGCACACTTTGACATGGTGCGAGCTTTCTTTGAAGCTTCTGACACATTCTTCTATATTTTGCGTAGCGCAAGGTTTCACACCACACAGAAGCTGCGTAGAGAATAATTGAGTGCGTAACTGCACTCAGCATTTCTCTTTTTCTTGCGCTAGGTCCGATCTTGTTAGGCATCAACCTACACAGAGAAAGAGCATACGCCTCTGCACGTTTACATGTGTGTTCTATATATTTTTTCATTGTTGCCTCTATGTCAAGAATAGCTCCAAGATATTTAATTTCAAATCCGGTCTCGATCTCCATATCTAAAACAGCAATGGTTACCCTTTTTGCATCCTTTCGCGTATTTAGGACAGCTTCCGTTTTTCCTGGTCCTAGCTGCAATTTTTTGACATGCATCCAGTTGGCGATTCTCTGGATAGCAATGTTCGCTTCTGCCACTACTTGTCCTTTAATTTTGCCAGTTTTGATTACGCCAAGATCGTCAGCGTATGATACAAGCTCAACACTCTCAGGCATTGGCAGTCGCAGTACATCGTCATAGTAGACATTCCACAAAAACGGTCCCATGACCGATCCCTGTGACACCCCACTTGTGATGTCCTTAGTGTGATTTTCACCTATAAGTAGACAGGCAGGCAAACTCACGAGATATGGAGAGATATATCTTCGTTTCTCCTTTGCTTCTATCTCGCAACTCAGCCTATTCTTAATTAGGTGTTCCACGACTTTTTCTAGGCAATCTAGTAAGCACAGCTGTCTCTTGTTCCGGTCTCTTCGGTTTTTCTATTAGTGCCAGGCTTGCAGTCTTCCATATCTTAGGGAAAACTCCTAATTTCATTTGTTGGTTCATCACCTCTAGACATTTATCGGGTAGGTTTTTAATTACGCACTGGGTGATCTCAGGTGAAAATCAGGCCCTGCTGCTTCATTCGGTTTAAGTTTACCTGCTGGGTCTCTGAGTTCATCTAGAGTCCATAATGGTACTTGTATGAGATCTATATTGGTGGGTGGCCATATTATTTCTTTATGTTTTGGAAAAAGTTTTTTAAATGTCTCTCGTCGCTTTTAAATTAAATTTTTTTGTGACAATCTGGTATCCACGTCCCCAAACATCAGCCTTGCTCGAAGGCATTTTTTTCTAGCTTCACCTAATTGTCATGTCCACCAGTACACTGGTTTTCTGGTACCTGTCATGCTGTATATTTATTTAAAGTTTTGTTGCAAGCATTTTTTACAGCCTCAGTTGGTTTTGCTGAAGTCAGAGAGTCGGCCTATGTACTCAGATTTCGTTTTAGGTGTTCTGTGAAATATTTAGTTTTTTCCTCATTCATTTTCCAGCCTTTGAATGTCTTGTCTTTGGGGCAACTAATTCAATAAAGCGGTTTCTTTTTTAACGGTCTTTAAAATTTCAAAATTCTTGTAGCTCAGTCATGTCATATCATATATATTTTCTTTTCACGCATTGATTCACGGATGGAAGAATGTGAACTCCAATTGGAATCCTGCAGACGTTTCACCAAGATGTCACTTGGCATCTTCAATGCTCGCTCTCCGAAAACAGTGTTCGAAGTGTTTTCGCAGCGCGAGCATTGAATATGCCAAGTGTATTACATTAAAATACTCTGCAAGGTAGTGTTGGAATACAATATTTCGCGTGTTAGTAGGTATATATATTTGTATAAGTAATATGCAATACATATTGCGTTTACGTTTGTTTATCTTTGCCTCTCAGCACTGTAGATATCAGGTTATGTTGTTCTTTGTACTTGTATGTCATGTGCGCGTCATGTAAAATTGTGTGTTGCAACTTTTACATAATAAGCGGTCGGTTATTTTCTACGCATTTATTTTATTGGAAGGCGTTGATATAAGTAGCGAATTCCGCTTGTGCTTATCACCCTGCAACAGATTATGGGCCCAGGGCTTTGAACTATTGCGTTGCCCAATTTGTAGTCGTTTTTTGTTTGGAAGATTCTAAATGGATGCCGATGTAGGTTCCGCATTTTCTGCGATCGAAAAATTATAGCGACTAGCGATTTCAAATCACTGTTCTGTTGAAACATGATGGTTTGTGGGAATATGTGAAGGGGCAAATGGCTATTTTCGCGACTACTGACCAAACTTCAACAGCGATTGCAACACGCCGGGAGGCAGCACGTAAGGAAGAAAAAGCGTTACCTAAAATAATTCTTTCCTTGGACATGTCAACGTACGTGATGCAACACATCGACAGAAGCTTGGAATGCTCTTGAAAAGGCCTTTGAAGGCAAGAGACTTCATCGACGTCTGCGCCTTTTGAGGAATCTGTGTTCAATTAGGCTGAGTAATTATGGTACAATACAGGATTATGTCAATGAATTCGATTGATAGACCTATTGATGATGAGTTTTTAGTTGTTATGGTTCAATGGCTCACTAAAGTTATGATCCAATGGTGATGGCACCTAAAAGTTGTGCAACCGACATAATGTCAGATTTGGTAAAGACCGAGCTTCTGCAAGATAAAAAATAGCAGAATAGTAAATGCTCAAATGGAGACACAGCGCTGATATGAAAAACAGGTAAAATGACTCCTTGGTACTGAAGATGTCGCTCTAAGGAGCACTGTAAAAATCAGTGTACCCAGAAACAATATAACCATCAAAATAACTTTTCTCATGCAAAAGTTATAAATCTGAACGCAACAAAGCTTTGTTTGCAGCTTTTAACATAAGTGAAGTGAGCTGCTTCTCATATGACTCGCAAAAGTGCTATCTGACAAAAGTAAAAGACAGGAAATTATAGTTGCTGACAATGCTAGGTTGTCTGTTGCCGGAACGGGAGATGCGGTTGTCAACTTGCAGCATAATGACAACGGAAGATTCATTTCAGACACAAAATATGTTCCTCACCTGGCAGTAAATTTATTAAACGTTAATTCACTGATTTCAAAGAGTTTTAGTGTATCTTTTGATTCCCAGAGTTGTAGAATATTTGATTGCAAAGAATTCATCAACAGAGAGACGCAGAGAGAACTCTAGTTGACAAAGAAGACAGCAAGCTTCCCAGGACAATGGGAGGAAAATGATCAGGAGACAGTTGCTGTAAATTGACAAACAAGTGATATATAAGGGCGAAAGAGTAATGTGCAATAGGTTCGAGATTGTGATGTGAATGTTACTGAATACCGAAGGCACCCAAATATAATCTCTCGTAAGCCAACAGTTTTTAAAGAATATGTTTGGACTGGCTCATCTAATTCAGATATGGATTTTTTTAAGTTATCTTTAAATGACTTGATAGCAACAGCATGTAATGTGGATGGTTTGTACAGACTTGATACAATACCATAAAGTGACATCTGTGCAAATACAGAAGTCATAGATTCGCAAATACTGTGGAACAAAAGGTTAGGTCATTTTAATTATTTTAGCAAGAAGCTGCCCTCAGAAATTAGTTATTGTGATACTCAACCTCCATCCTTGTGTGAAAGTTGCATTAAAGGTAAGTTTTCGAAAAAGCCGTTCCCCAAAAATAAAAGTAAGGGGGTGGCTGCGAATAAACTAGACTTAAACCACTGATAAGGGGACAGTTGCTGCAAATTGACAAACAAATGCTCTATAAGGGCGAAAGAGTTGTTGCACGGTTCGAGATTGTGATGTGAATGTTACTGAAGACCGAAGGTACCCAAAAAGAATCTCTCGTAAGCCAACGTTTTTTAAAGAATATGTTTGGAGTGACTCATCTAAATCAGATATTGGTTTTGCTATGTTACCTTTAAATGTAGAGACACAGCCAAAAACTGTTTGCGGAACATTATCTGCACCAAATAAAGATCAATGGATGCTCGCTATCTAAAAGGAGCTTAATGCTTTTAGACAGAATGATGCTTGAAAACCAGTCAACCGGACTCCTAACACCAATATTGTTATAAATAAGTGGGTACTTAAAATCCAAAGAGATCAAAGCCGCCAAATTGCGACCTATAGAGGTCGTTTGGGGGCAAATGGGTTTACTAAAAAATATGGGATTGATTATACTGAAACGTTTCCCCCCGATGCCCGTTTCTCTAATTTGAGACTTTTGTTTGTAAAAACAGCCGAATTGAATCTGCAATGGTGACTAAATAAAACAATATGTATGTGTCAACCTGATGACTTCGAGGAGCCTG